TCAAACTGAGTAAATCACCACTTAAAATGTGTGCAATTATGTACTCTTCTGAATAAGTTATTTGTTGTCCGCATTACAACGGATTTGAATTTTAAAACCATTTTTTTGTGACACATGGTCTCCGGCCTGGAAAACCCGGTCCGAGCGCCGCGAAACCAATAACCCCCCCCGTACGTGGAAAATAATTATCGGATCGAAGTAAAAATTACGTTTATGTTAATAGCTTACCTAGTGCTACTTTGTGAATTTTTTTTGAGACTTTTGGATTTTTCACTTTTGTAGACCTCTGGTCGATATTTACTGATATCCGCTCTTAAGACTCTAGCTTTCCAAAATCCTGAATTGAAGATTTTAGCTGACCTTACAGATTTTAGCTTTCCAAAATTCTGAATTGAAGATTTTAGCTGACCTTAAGATTTTAGCTTTCCAAAATCCTGAGTTTAAGATCTTGGCTGACTTCAAGATTTTAGCCTTCCAAAATCCTGAATTCAAGATTTTGGCTGACTTTATGATTTTATCTTTCCAAATCCTGAATTCAAGTTATTGGTTGACTTCAAGACTTTCGCTGTCCAAAATCCTAAATACAAGATTTTGGCCGACTTCTACATCTTTTTTTTTCGAAAATCCTGAATTCAAGATTTTGGCCGACTTCAAGACCTTAGCTCTCCATAATCCTAAATTCAAGGTTTTGGCTGACTTTAAGATTTTAGCTTTCCAAACAACTGAATTCAATATTGTATCTTATTTCAAGATTGTGGCTGACTTCAAAATTCTCGCTCTTCAAAAGCCTCAATTCAAGATTTTGGCTGACTTGAAGATTCTGGCTGACTTCAAGATTTTAGCTTTCAAAAATCTAGATTTTAAGACTTTGGCTGACTTGTAGATTTTAACTTTCCAAAATCCTAAATTAAAGATTTCCGCTCACTTCAAGATTTAAACTTTCCAACATCCTGAATTGAAGATTTTCGCTGACTTCAAGACTTAAGCGTTTAAAAATCCTGAATTCAAGATTTTGGCTGACTTTAAGATTTTAGCTTTCCAAAATCCTGAATTCAAGTTTTTGGCTGAGCTTAAGATTTTAGCTTTCCAAAACCCTAAATTATAGATTTGGGCTGACAGCAAGATTTTATCTTTCCAAAATTCTAAATTTAAAATTTGGGCTGACTTCAAGATCTTAGCCTTCCAGACTCCTGACTTCAAGATTTAAAATAACTTCAAGAGTTTAGCTTTCCAAAATCGTGATTTCACGATTTTTGCTGACTTCAAGATTTTTGATTTGCAAAATTCTGAATTCAAGAGTTTTGCTGACTTTAAGATTTTAGCTAACCAAAATCCTAAATTCAAGATTTTGGCTGACCTCAAAATTTTAGCTTTTCAAAATACTGAATTCAAGATTTTGGCTGACTTCAACATTTTAGCTTTTCAAAGTAGCGAATTAAAAATTCGGGCTGACCTCAAGATTTTGGATGCCATCAACATTTTAGCTTTTCAAAATCCTGAATTCACGATTTTTGTTGACTTCAAGATTTTAACTTTCCAATATCCTCAATTCAAGATTATGGTTGCCTTCAGGACTTTAGCTTTCCAAAATCCTGAATACAAGATTTTGGCTGACTTTAAGATTTTACCTTTGAAAAATGTTGAGTTCAATATTTTGGCTGACTTTAAGGTTTTGGGTTTTCAAAGTCCTGGATTCAAGATTCTTTATGACTTCGAGATTTTACCTTTGAAAAATCCTGATATCAAGATTTTGGCTGACTTTAAGATTTTACCTTTCCAAAATCCTGATTTCAAGACTTTGGCTGACTTAAAGATTAAACCTTTCCAAAATCCTGAATTCAAGATTTCGGCTGACTTCAAGATTTTAACTTTCCAATATCCTGAATTCAAGATTTTTGCTGACGTCAAGATTTTGGCTGCCATCAAGATCTTAGCTTTCAAAATCTTGAATTCAAGATTTTGGTTGACTTCAACATTTTGGCTTCCCAAAATCCTGAATTCAGGATTTTGGCCGACTTCAAGATCTTAGGTTTCCAAAATCCTGAATTCAATATTTTGGCTGACTTCAAGATTTTAGCTTTCCAAAATCCCAAATTCAAGATTTTGGCTGACCTCAAGTTTTTAGCTTTCCAAAATTCGCAATTCAAGTTTTTTGCTGACTTTAAGACTTTAGCTTTCCAAAATACAGAATTCAAGATTTTGGCTGACCTCAAGATTTTAGCGTTTTAAAATACCGAATTCAAGGTTTTGGCTGACTTCAACATTTTAACTTTCCAAAATCCTGATATACAGATTTTGGCTGATTTTAAGATTTTACCTTTGAAAAATCCTGATATCAAAATGTTGGCTGACTTTATAATTTTACCATTCCAAAATGCTGAGTTCAATATTTTGTCTGACTTTAAGATTTTGGCTCCTGGAGTCAAGACTTTGGCTTACTGAAAGATTTTAACTTTCCAAAATCCTGGATTAAAGATCTCGGCTGCCTTCAAGATTTAAACTTTCCACCATCTTGAGTTTAAGATTTTGGCCGTCTTCAACATTTTAGCTTTCGAAATCCTAAATTCAAGATTTTGGCTTACTTCAAGATTTTAGGTTTCCAAACAACCGAATTTAAGATTGTATCTTATTTCAAGATTGTGGCTGACTTCAAGATTTTCGCTTTTCAAAAGCCTCAATTCAAGATTTTGGCTGACTTGAAGGTTCTGGCTGACTTTAATATTTTAGCTTTCCAAAATCTAGATTTCAAGACTTTGTCTGACTTGTAGATTTTAACTTTCCAAAATCCTGAGTTCAAGATTTCGGCTGTCTTCAAGATTTAAACTTTCCAACATCCTGAATTCAACATTTTCGCTGACTTGAAGACTTAAGCTTTTAAAAATCCTGAATTCAAGATTTTGGCTGACTTTAAGATAATAGCTTTACAAAATCCTAAATTCACGATTTTGGCTACTTTCAAGTTTTTACCTTTCCAAAATCCTGATTTAAAGATTTTGGCTGACTTCAAGATTTGATTTTTCCAACCTCTTAAATTCAAGATTGTGGCTGAATTCAAGATTTTGGCTTTTTAAAGACGTGAATTTAAGATTGTGGCTTTTGAAAACCCTGAATTCAAGATTTTGGTTGACTTCATGACTTTAGCTTTCCAAAGTCCTGAATACAAGAATTTGGCTGACTTCAAGATTCTAGCTTCTTATAATCCTGAATACAAGATTTTGGTTCACTTGAAGATTTTAGTTTTTCAAAATCTTGAATTGAAGACTTTGGCTGACGTAAAGATTTTCGCTTTCCAGAATACGGAATTGAAGATTCTGGCTGTTTCCCAGATTTTAGTCTACCAAAATCCTGAATTCAAGATTTTGGCTGACTTCAAGATTTTAGCTTTTTAAAATACGGAATTCCAGATTTTGGCTGACTTGTACATTTTAGCTTTCCAAAATCTTTATTTCAAGATCTTGCCTGACCTTAGGACTTTAACTTTCCAAAATCCTGAATTTAAGATTTTGGCTGACTTCAAGATCTTAACTTTCCAGAATCCCGAACTGAAGATTTTTGCTGACATCAAGATTTTAACTTCTCAAAATCCTAAATTCAAGATTTTGGCTGACTTGAAGATTTTAACTTTTGCAAAATCCTGAATGTAAGATTTTGGCTGACTTCAAGATTTTAGCTTTCGGAAATCCTGAATTCAAGATTTTGGCTGACCTCAAAATTTTAGCTTTCCAAAATCTTGAATTCAAGATTTTGGCTGAGTCAAAATCGTAGCTTTTTAAAATACTGAAGTCAATATTTTTGCTGACTTTAAGATTTACGTTTCCAAAATCCTGATATTAAGTTTATAGTGAAGACAACTTAAATTTCCCCTTCTCCCAGATTTGGCTAAATTCGCTTATAAGAATTGATAATAAGCCTTTCTTTTATAAGTCATGGTTTCATGCAGGAGAGAAAGATGTTAACGATTTGCTTGACCTCTCAAATTATAATTTCCTAAGCTACACTGCTTTCATTACCAAGTATAGTATGAAGACGAACTATCTAGGGTGTTACGAAAACTAAGACCCTCGAAAACTAAGACCTAAGACCTAAGACCCCTCTTGGTTTTCGAGATTACGAAAACTAAGACCCCGTAAAATCGAATCCGTCGAAATATAAAGTCAAATTGTAACCGAAATAGGTCTGATCTGTCAAATTATATCATGTTCGGTCCTTTCCACCGAGTTTAGGTCAAATTTAACGGTAAATTTAGGGGTCGAAAAAAACTAAGACCCCTCTTAGTTTTCGTAATTACGAAAACTAAGACCCCCACCAAAACAATCTCTAAAATTTCTGCAAAGTCGAATTACCACCGTTTGAAGACTATAATCCGTAAGACAAACAAAAACTACTATCATACGCGTGGTGATCTACGATCCGCTAACAATTTGAAGACTCGCTTTAAAAAGAGGACCATGCCATAGACTTCCTACGTATCTATTGTACACTGAAAATATGCCTTACCCCTATTGGTCTTTAATTTTGTTGTTTATCCTTTAAATCATAAAATTGGCTTTCCACTGGAGATGGATGTTTTTCTTTGTGTCTCTGCGATCGAGATTGCGTTACCTGTAACTATCACCTGCGGGGGTTTGTGTCCAGCGGTTGTCGTGGACCAGCGGGGAGCGCGGGGAGGGGAGCGGGGGAGGGAATTGCTAGTCTTGGTGGGTCAAAAGACCTCTCGCGTGAGTCGATGTTATTTTTTATTTGCCCATTAAAAACCGGCGATACCGCGGGTAGATAATTGTTGCAATCGAAGCACTGGATACTTGAATTGATATAATTTCCAGATACTGCTTTACTTTTTGATAGCTTAGGAAGATGAAATTTTCGGAAAAGGGACATTTTCGATCGAGGAGATCCCGATCGAACACGCCGCCACGAGCAAGAACTCATGTGATCAATTTTCCCGCCGAAAATTATTACCCCGGGAATCCTGACCTCTGGTAACCTACTGTCACCTAATCTTCACTTTGTATTGATTGTTTGTTTATTTTATTGTTCTGAAATTAGAACTCTAATTCTCGAAACGATGCTTTGCTAGCACAGGAAATTCATTCACTCATTCGTTTTTTTTTTAATTATTTCATGAGTGATTTTAGCGATTATCCCTCACAGACCATTTGTCCTTGCCCCCCACCCCTACCCCTCAACTACCTTTGCATTGTAACCAGGTGATCTCCGGAGTGGCATCGATAAAAACAAACGCTAGAAAAACGCAATGTAGCATATTCTCCTTTTTTCGCCCTTTTTATAAAAGCACTCTTCTATCTCTGACCCTGCCAGAAAAGGAAAAAAAATCCGTATTTTTGTGTGATGTTCAACAGATAACGCCGTTGACCACTTAGCAATGGGGCCGGTTGCTCGAAGCCTGGTTAGCGCAAACCGTTGGTTAAGAGGTATCAAAATGTAAAGGTGTCCATGGTATTTAACGCTGGTTAGCACTAACCATGCTTCGAGCAACCCGGGCCGTCGCAGCGACATGTCAGCCCGCAACGAAGACAAAAATCCATCTCCAGTGGAAACCAATTTTATGACTTTAAGGATAAACAACCAAAATTATAGGGGTAAGGCATATTATCGGTGTACAATTATACGTAGGTAGTCTATAGCTTTCATCCTCTTCTTAAAGGGACAATATTGATAATGTATGTCTGCAAATTGTTAGAAGAAGCGGATCGTCTAGCACGCGTATGATAGTAGTTTTTGTTTGTCTTACGGTTATAGTCTTCAAACGGTGGTAATTCGACTTTGTAGAAATTTAAGAGATTGTTTTGGTGGGGGTCTTAGTTTTCGTAATTACGAAATCTAAGAGGGGTCTTAGTTTTCGAGATTACGAAAACTAAGACCCCTAAATTTCGCTGTGGCTATATGGCCGGTAACCGATCAAGGTTTTCAAAACACTAAATGGCCGGCAGTTCTATATTCTTAGTAAATTTCACAAAATCGAAAGGTTCCCGCTAATTTAAACTACCATATGTCGATTTAGAAAAGTCAAGCGATCCTGAAATGCTTTACAGATCTCAAGTGTAGTGTTTGGTTTACGCTGGGCTCAGAGGAGGAAACCATGTTTTGTGACACTTAGGACTTTTTTCAGCTCGACTGCGGGTCAAGGTTTTCAAAACACAAAATGGCCGGCAGTCCTATATTCTCAGTAAATTTCTCAAAATCGAAAGATTCTAGCCAATCTAAACTATCATATGTGGATTTAGAAAAGTCAAGCGATCCTGAAATGCTTTACAGATCTCAAGTCTATTGTTTGGTTTACGCTGAACCATGTTTTGTGACACTTTTCAGCTCGACTGCCGGTCAAGGTTTTCAAAACACTTAATGGCCGGCAGTCCTATACTGTTTTAAGCTCTTACGCAGATATACATGTATCTATGAATTGTAGACAAGATCATGTAATTTCAAAAGTAAGTCAAACAATCAATTAATTATTCTTTTTTAAGGGAATAGGTAATGCCACGTATGTAACTGGAAATACCTTAATAAATTTTTGTCGCTGTTGTATTTGTGTAAAAAAGACAGATAAAAAAACTGGCCTGACTGGGTGTGAAGACAGTAACTTCTGTGAGTTAAAAAAAGGGACGTCAGGAAACTTTTATACTAATGGCTGTTTTTTTTTTCTTTTTTTTTTGATTTTGTGGAATTTAGTGAGATTACGTAGTTACTAAAATAAGGAATGACCTACAATGACCTACAATGACCTACCATGACCTACAATGATCTACAATGAGCTCCTATGACCGAACGTGTAATCCCTGTAATGAGCTAAAATGAAGATTTTAGAAAAAGACAAAAAAAAAAGATCGGGCGACATGTGTGCGTAAACGTAACGCGTTTAGTCTACTGCATGACAGCCCATTTAATGATGACAGTATCTGTAATTATTACGCTTGGAGATAAATTTACAGTGTAATAATATGTGTATGATGATACTGTGACTTTTGTCCAAACCATCCCTTGCAACCTTTCGCATTAGTTTTATTTTGTCTTGTCTTTTTTTCAAACAAATAGAACAAACACAGTCAACCCAACAGTCGATCCGGGGGGATCTTCAAGGGACGTAAGGGTAGACATGAACAAAGGAGGCCTTCAAATTCTGACCCTGTTCAAAAGAAAAATTATTCATTTTTTTAAAGTACCCTGGCCTGTATAAGACATC